AGGTGCTATGACTAAAAAGCCCAATTTGGATAATTTGTCCTCTGGCCAACCTGAACCTTACATGAAACCATGCGGTTCTACCCTCCAACGAATACTAAAGGAAAAGAAAGCAAAGCCTATCTGAGAAATGTTCTGGATGATCAAGTGGCCTCTGTTCATCTTCAAATGGCATGACATGCACTAATTAGCCTTCACACCACCCTCTGAGGTAAGAGGTTTGTTATTTCCCTCTCCAGCTGGGGAGCACAGAGCAAGGTGCTTCACCTCTGCCTGGGGTCACAGGTGTTGCCACAGCGCGTCCCGAGGCCCAGGACTGGCCCACATCCATCGGCCTCCATTGCAGCAGCAAAGCGCCCTGGGGCAGAGCCAACCATAGCATCTGGAGTCGGGATGCAGTGAGGGCAGTCTGCTCGACAGCGCTCCTACCTGGGCACCAGAGTCCTTCTAGTCACTTCAACTATGCCCAAAACCAGAGCAGCCTCGGCACGTCTCCTGTGTGCACTCAGGCCCAGGCGTGGGAGGGCGGTGCTGGCTGTCTGCTGCTTACCTGGCTTTTATTTATCCTTTAACAAGATGTATGCTTTTGTCAAAGACAAAGTGAGTAGAAGCAGCTTCACTGTGAAGGGGCAATGCGATCATAACAGCCGGTAAACAGAAGAGTGTTTTATTGCCACTGATCACACTTTCACACCTGAAGAAGCCCGTCTTAGCAACAGAAGCGCCTGCCCACCTCCCAGCCATCATGGGAAACGTGACAGGGAGAAGCTGCACCACCTCAGTCGATAGAACCTTCCGTCTGGGTGGTAGACACCAAGCCAGCACAACCAGGAAGCAGGCTGAGGTGTAGTACACTCACACGACAACCCTCTGCAATTTCTAATATTGTGTATTCCTTCCTTGAATTTCCTCAGTTTGCATTAATCCTAATGCTTAAGGTGGGACTAAACCAAAGAGTGTTTTAAAGAGGCAAAGGGCCCTTCCAGTGACATGAAGTTGCCAAACACTTGTTTCCCCCCACTAGAGTCAAAAATCATCGCTGCGAGAGGAACGTGCTTCAGGGAAGAAACACTCAAAGCCCAGTTTCGAGAGTACTTGTTACGAGTTCACCTGTTTCGCCTAAGCCACACTAATGAACAGGTGGATAAAAATAAAGCCAAGTGCATCAAAGGAAGCAGATGAGATCCTGAAGCACAATACACTCGCAAGTTTCATCATGCACAGCGGACGCCCAGCCTCTGCTGTTCAGGTCTGACGAGCCTGTGGTGAAACTCGCTCCCGCTCAGGAGAGCCCAGCGCCCAACACAGCTTCCTCCTGCCCAGGGGGCAGCAGCAAGGAGACGAAATGGCTCCTTCAAAGAAAGAAAAGGAAACAAGACACATGACTCCAGAAAGACCTAGGTCTTCCTGAGGAAACACTGGGTTTCAGAAGGCTCCAGAAGGGATGCGCCTAGCCCTGGGAGCCTTGGAAGGGGCTGGGCCCTGCGGGCCGTTGCTTCACAGCAGTCTCACTCACTCACTTCCCGGGATTCGGCTGCTGCGTCAGGCGATTGCTCACTCTCGCTGAGGGCACACCTCTAGACAGCTCTGAGGTGCCACGTGCCTCAGTGCCCGGCTGGGGGAGGGCGCACCTGCCTCGGGCTTTGCCAACAAATGGGCGGGGGCTTGAAGCCATCAGGAAAATCTTTTTATTCCTCCGGAGGAACAGAAAAAAGAGAGAACTCTTCTCCTCCTCAGTGTGGAATTTGGAGACATCAAAATAAAAAGACATGCCCACTCCTGGCTGGTTCAGTTCTGCTGGAAGGAATGCCACCTACTCCCACAGGAGTAGGCAGGAGAACGGGTGGTGAGCTGGCCCATCGGAACACCAGGTTTGCTGTTTAACTCGTGTGCCTCCCACTTGGGAAAAAGAAACAGAAAACTTGGGAACAACCTAGAGACAAGGAACAAGACAATCAAAAACGTAAAAATGGCCCTGTGGGCACAGCAACTGCAGAACTAGACAAAAGTGGCTCCTCGACCTTCTCAAGCCAAGAAGTGCATCAGAGCCCTGAGACCTGGAGCCTAGGGATGAGGAAGCCAGCGGGGCACCCTTGCTGGTGGCTGGAGTGTGCAGGCCACGGCTGTCTCTCCCAGGGAACCTGCCTCCCGCCACCAGAGCGGGCAGAGGCCATGCGGGTGGGCCTCAACTGCCTGCAGGTTTCCGGGGCGCTCACAGCTGGCTCCAGCCCACAGTCTGGGCACCCTGGTGACTCAGCTGCCCTGACAAGAATGCAGCAATGGCCCCTGAAGGGCAGCTGCAGGAGACCCTGGGAGCCTGTCAAGCATGCAGATTCCTGACTGGGCAAAGAAGGTCTACAAGAGGACCAAAACCCCAGAAGCAAGCTAGGTGGAAAGGGCCCACCCCTCCCGAAGCAGCGCCCACGCTCGGGCAGGTCTAATATCCACCCTGCAGGGCCACAGTGGACTGACAGCTCCAGCTATATTTTGTAAGACCTTCCACTTGTTTCTCCATGACCTAAGACTCCTCAGTCTGACTCATGGCAAACAATTAAGAATCCACTTACACCCAAACCTTCAAATAAACCATCTCGACCCCACCTACCCAACCTTCACCAGAATCACCTAAAACATAGACACATTCCCCCAGGACCCCTGCAATCATAAGTCTGCGACCCGTGCCTCCCGCACCACTCTGCTCCACACCCGGCACCCTTCCAGGCCAGCCTCACCTTGCAGTGTCCTCCATCACAGCAAATACAATGAAAATCACAACACAATCTTCTTTAGGCAGTACCCCCCCAAATGGAAGGAGAGCCACCCGGGGGCATGGGCTGTGCCTCTGCACAAGCTGACACCCACATTCCACCAACACAACAGGTGTGCAGCCCATACGAAAATTTCTAAAGACCTAAGAAATAGAAAAATATTTAAATTACGGTATTATTAAATGTTTTTAAAAACCTATTGTTATATATCAAAGGGAACTGAAAATATATGCTCAAAAAATACTTAGAGGGGCCGGCCCCGTGGCTTAGCGGTTAGGTGCGTGCGCTCCGCTGCTGGCGGCCCAGGTTCGGATCCCGGGCACGCACCGACGCACCGCTTCTCTGGCCATGCTGAGGCGGCGTCCCACATACAGCAACTAGAAGGATGTGCAGCTATGACATACAACTATCTACTAGGGCTTTGGGGGAAAAATAAATAAATAAAAAAATTAAAAAAAAAAAAAAACTTAGACATGAAAGTTCAGATTAGCATTATTCAACACAGCAAAGAATACCCACACAATGGAATATTACCTGGCCATAAAAAGGAACGATTTACTGACATGCCTTAACATGGATGAACCTTGAAAACACACTAAATGAAAGAAGCCAGACACAAAAGGCCACACATTGTATCACTCCATTTACATGAAATGTCCAGAACAAGCAAATGCAGAGAGACAGAAAGTAGATTAGTGGTTGCCAGGGGCTGGGGGAGGGGCATGGGGAATGAGAGCTAATGGGTGTGGGGTTTCCTTTAAGGGTGATGAGAACATTCTGGAAGCAGACAGTGGTGATGGCTGTACAACTTTGTTCATATACAAAATAATCACTGATTTATACACTTTAAAAGGGTGAATTACTTATGCTGCGTGAATTATATCTCAATCTTTAAAAAACCACTGTATAGCATACCACATTTATTTACAGAATGGAAGGAAGCATAAAAAAACAGATATTACCTCAACAGACTACAAGAATTCAGGAAATGTTTTATTTTTCCACGTTTCTTTTTAGAATGTCTTAAAATATTCTCATCATTTGAATGACAATCCCTCCTGAAGACAACAGCAACATGAATGGGAAGAAACAGATGACAAGAATATTTCTAAGAGAAAGCCCAGGCTGTCAATTCCCCAAGTGCCCAAGGCCGAGCATTCAGGGAGAGAGGGCTTTCCCAGGGGCCCAGCCTGGGAGCTCCTCAGCACTCGCGACAGGCCCAGCTGCCATCTCCTCTCCTCTCACATCCTGCACCCACTGCCCTGGGCCACCACACCATCAGCCCTACTTTCCACTGGCCCTCATGGCCTTCACACCTCGTCAGAACCTGCAAGAGCCAAGGAAAGCAGAGGCGACGACACCCAAGAAGATGACATCACGCTGAGTCATGGGCTCAAATGCCTCATTTAACTGCAGTCCAAAATGCCCTGCTATCCTGAAAGTGGGCCATCAGCCTCTACAGCTTCAGAGACAAGGATAAGAACCAAGGCTCGCCCACCGCAGTTAAAGAGCATGGAGGAGGCGCAGTGCCCCCAACAACCAAGGACCATGAGGGCCACGGCAGGCTGTTCACTCCCCCGAGGAAGTGGAGGGCTGACCCGCGAGTTCAGAGGGCTTCATAGCACGGGCAGCCTCCCCTCTTGCAAGAAACTTATATTAGATCTTTCCTCCTCGTTAGCACCAGAAAAGGCAACTCCACAGGCCAGCAGAGCAGGTCTTCAGGAAAGGGTGGGCATGAGGCATGAACCAGCACTCTGGGTGGGCACCGTCTGCGTTTAACACAGTTGTTACAAACACCCTAACCTCAGTATCTGAACAAAAGCAAATCTCAAATCACCTGCCTTACGTCACTGGAGCTGGTTCCAATCACTACACTCTGTAAGACAACTAAGCAGCAGGAAACTCAGGAGGACGCACCCCTGCCTGCCGGGCCAGCAGACACGGCTCCGCAGGCACTACTGCCCCCTGGTGGCAGCGCGCAAGGCCAGCTTGGCCCATCTTCACTGGAGCAGAAAGCCCAGCGCTGACTATCCGACGCCAGCACTGGATGGTTAGGTAGAGCTGAAAGCCACGGAAAAAAGAGCCTGTGTTCACTGTGCTATCAGGGTCAAATCTCTCTACCTACGTTCCAACTACTTCATAATGCAGTCAAAGGTAAACAGAACTTGTCCCCACTGTTTCAACAGTCCCACAAGCTGATTGCTGCCTGTTCTCCTCCGCTGGGGCAGTGTTTACCAGGGCCTGCAGCGTCCCGTCCATGGCAATGACCCCCTCGATGGTCTGGAAGGAGGAACGGGCCAAGGTGCACAGGCTCCAGTCCAGGAAACCCGCCATCTTCTTCTGCTTGACGTCAGGCCGTGTGACAAACCTGTCAGAAGGGAACAAACAGGTGACAGCTCAACCAAGGCCCCAAAACACGAGAACTCGCCCCTTCCCGGCCCACCGTGTCCTCCTGTTGAGATGAGTCTCCACGCCGGGACGTCTGGCCCCTGCATGAGGAATTATGTCCTCCTCCGTGACAGACATCCTACACCACTCCCCAATCCAAGAAACGAAGACGCTGCCCAGACTGTGGCCCTCGGGTGGCAGTTCCCCAACACAACCTCTCTGACGTCAAGGCGCAGGCCCTACCGCCCCATCTCCTCCCTCCTGGGACCCCATTCACCCTGACGCCCTGAAGGACCACCCTTACCCGTCCCCACCACTGCCCAGGAGCCCCACCGATGCCCACTCCTTGGTCCAACTCTGTGTCCCTTCACCTCAGGATGCCATGCCCCCACATGCAAGGCCTGGCCCAACAGCAGACTCCTCGGACCTCTCCCTGCATCTCCATGGGTCTCCCTTCCCTCATCCTCTCCACCTGCCTGCACAGCCCCACACAGAGCTCTGGCTGGCGCCCAAGGCCCCACATCCCCATCCCAGGCGTCTGCTGAGCTCTGGGCCTTTGCCGACCCTCCTCTACACCTGGTCTGGGCTGGCAGTCATCCTCCAGCTCCCACAACAAAGCCTGGTCCCTCTTTGCTCCTCTCCAGTCAGTCCACACACCAGGCCCCCAGCTCTCTGACTCGGGCTCAGGCTGAGTCCCTGCCATCCTGGGGGAGCTCGCACTCTGGGAGCAGAAACACAGGAAACAAGCAGACAGCAGCTTGTTGTTTGGAAGGAAAGGAAGCAGCTGAGTGAGGGGAGGGTGGCAGGCAGTGCAGCCTCAAGAGAGACACAGGGACAACCTCCCAAAGGGACATGTGACCAGAGGACGTGGAGAAAAAGGCCACAAAGCACCTCACGAGCTGTAAGGACCTCACCCCCCTTAGCTGCCCCGCAGAGAACACACTTGGGGAGGGGCTGGGTACTAACACCGGGGAAACACTCTCGTTTCAAGGGTACTCCCACTTCTTCCCCAAGTTCGCACCAGGCCAGGGCTCGCCTGGGAGCAGTGCCCGGAGTGGTTCCAGCACCCTCCTCAGCGTCCCTGCAGGAATCTCTTGTCCTGACCAGAAGCCCTCCTCCTGTAGAGCCCCGCTTCTCCTCGGAATAGTGGCCGCCAGTGCAGTTACTAGACTTCAGGAAAGCACAAGATCTCTAAGACAGAGAAAAGGAAGCAAAGGTCCCAAGATGGTCCTCCTGCCCCTGGACCAGGGTGCACACCAGGACGTCGTGGTCACCGAGGATTTTTATCAAACTTTAGGAGGCCGGTTACAAAGGCAAACGCACATGCCCTCCCCAAGAAGCTGTGTTTCAGCCAATCTGGGAAGGGTACCCAGGAATTTCATTTAAAATCTGCACCTCAGGGGTCGGCCCAGTGGCATAGTGGTTAAGTTCACGCACTCCATTTCGGTGGTCCGGGGTTCGCAGGTTCAAATCCCAGGCACGGACCGATGCACCACTCATCAACCCATGCTGTGGCAACATCCCACATACAAAATAGAGGAAGATGGGCACAGATGTTAGCTCAGGGCCAATCTTCCTCACTAAAAAAATAATAATAAAAAAATATAAAATCTGCACCTCAGTGTGATTATCAAAAATGGATGATTGGTAATATATACCCTATCTCGATGTCCTTGATCCTATTTAAAACCCCTTGATCCTGAGGGGCCAGGGGAGGAGAGCCACACCCACAGGGACCTGATCCTCAGCATGACCTCCGACCTCAGCTCAGAGGCTAAAGACAACAGGTGGCCAGCACTCATCGAGCACCACGTGCAGGCCCAGTGCCCGTGGCTCGGCTGCCGGCTGGACAGGCGAGAGCACAGGCACGGAGTGTCTGCCCCTCCCCTCTGGACAATTGTGTGCATCTTGAAGATGCAGCGGAACCTTCGCCTCCTGGTCCCTCCTCTCCCACCCTTCCCCAGAGCCCCTCCCCTCTGCAGGCAGCCAGGTTCCCCGCCAGGGGCCTGAGGCCGCAGCACTGGCACAGGGGCACAGTGTTCTGTGCGCAGCAAGTGTCAGCTGACATCCGTTCCTGAACAAAATCACACAAGTGAGTTCCCAAACTGAGGTACAAACCTAAGGCTCCTTTGAAAAATTTAAGCAAGTAGGTTACTCTATATTTTGTATTTTTCTCATTTAAAGAAGGAATATATATTCATAGCAGAGGTCCAAAAATACAGATAAGCAAAAATGGAAAAAGTATCTATCCCATAGAAATACCAGATTTACAGAAATGGGACCCTTCTACACACTCTGAAAGATCTTTGAATCCAACGCTTCCTCCCGTTAGAAGAAATTACATCACAGGCTTCATCCACTTGAAATACTGAGCTCAGCTAAAGCACGCAGGTATTTTAGAGGTCCCACTGTCTTTCTCTCTCACGAGAACAGCTCTAAGAAAGATCAGTAAAACCTTAACTACGGGGACTAGATGGATCAGAGGGACAAAGGAGGCCTAGGCAAAACATTCGTGGCGCAGAAGGCTGCTCAGACCCTCAATGGTACTGTTACCACACCCTGCTGTTTAACTGAGTAAAATGGTATAAGAGAAACAGCACAGGTGAAGTGACAAACCCTGTTGTGAGTGAGAACTTACTGTGTGTGTGTTTTTAAAGAGCATCACAAATTAATGGAAAAGTGAAACATTCACAAAATGGTGCCAGAACAACTAGTTACTTGGGGGAAAAATCTACTGTATATCCTAAACCAAAAGAAATTCCAAATGGGCTGATAATTCCATATTAAACAATAAAAAACTAGAAAAATATACATGACTATTTGTAAAATCTCTTAAGAGGGTAAGACTTCAAGCTTAAAAGTAAACATCACTAGGGGCCAGCCCAGTGGCCTAGTAGTTAAGCTCGGCGGGCTCCACTTTGGTGGCCTGGCTTCGGTTCCCAGGCACAGACCTAAACCACTCGTCAGCCGTGCTGTGGCAGCGGCCCACATGCAAAACAGAGGAAGACTGGCAACAGTTATTAATTCAGGGCCAATCTCCCTCAAGCAAAAAGAGGGAGATGGCTCTTTTTGGCTACAGATGTTAGCTCAGTATGAATCTTCCTCAGCAAAAGAACGAAAAAGTAAAAATAACTAACTAAATAAAAGGAAAAACAATTACTGTTTTGACATTAAAATTAAAACTTTAGTCCAAAGAAGAAAGTAAAAGGCCACTAACCACCTGGGAGAAATATAAGCCACCCTAAAGCTGCAGGCTAATGTCCTTCACACAAAGCGCTCATGCTAGTAGAGAAGAGAAGGCACCAAGAAACGCACGAACATTAGAAGTCAGGACAGGGCCGGCCCCGTGGCTCAGCGGTTGAGTGCGCACACTCCGCTGCTGGCGGCCCGGGTTCGGATCCCGGGTGCGCACAGACGCACCACTTCTCCAGCCATGCTGAGGCCGCGTCCCACATACAGCAACTAGAGGGATGTGAAGCTATGACATACAACTATCTACTGGGGCTTTGGGGGGAAAAAATAAATAAATTAAAAAAATCTTAAAAAAAAAAAAAAAAAAAGAAGTCAGGACACAAAGGGGGATATATAATGCCTAAAAAAAGACTGAAGCGTTAAAACTCACCAACAATATTAGTAATGAACAATACAATACACAATCCAATTAGGAGAAGGGGGTTGTTCTTAAGGCTGCCCAGTGCACCAAGGCCCTGAGACAGGGGCCCTGTGGCAGCAGAACTCCCCAGAACCTGCTCCAGAGAGCCCCCTGGCGATGTTCTTGTGTCCTGGGACTCAATAAGTCCACCTCTAGGGGCCTATCCCAAGGAAATAATCCCAAATACCAAAACGAGTTTATACCCAAAGCTAGTCATTACATCATTGCTTACAAGAGGATGGAAGTAAGGAAGCTGATCAAAGTACCTAAAAACAGTGGAATATAAGGGAGGCATTTAATCAACAGTAATGTGAAATAAAGTGAAAAAGCAGGATGCTAACTCAATGAGATTGTGCTGTGCATATTCAATGTAATAACAGTACAGAAAAAGACAAAAGAAACACTACATATATACTGCGTATTTGAACTACAAATGTGTGATTTTCTATGTTCAAAAATTTCCAACCTCTCCACATGGAGCATACCTTGCTTTTATAATGAGACAAAAATATCTGCTTTTCAAAATTAATGTAATAAGAATGACGACAGGGCCGGCCCCGTGGCTTGGTGGTTAAGTGCGCGCGCTCTGATGCTGGTGGCCCGGGTTCGGATCCCGGGCGCGCACCGAGGCACCACTTCTCCG